TGTTGACCAGGATGGTCTCGATCTCTTGACCTAGTGATCCACCTGCCTTGACCTCCCAAAGTACTGGGATTGTAGGCGTGAGCCACCGCACTGGGCCATATTTCCTAATTTTATGAAGGGAAATGATTTATTTATGTGAGCTCCATCTGGTTGTTACAATCAGAAGGATAAGAAATGAAAGGCAAATGATACATAAGCAGTGCGATAGGCTTTGCATCAGGCAGTCTTGGGTGTGAATACTGTAATAGCTCTGGACATTTGGTTTTCTTTGTAAAAAGAAATTTTAAAAGGAAATTACAATCCCAGAGAACAAAGTTAAGACTCTGAACCAAAGGTTTTATTTGCTCCTTCAATAATTCCCACACTCTCAGAAGAGAAATCTAGATGCCTGCCAGTTATGGGACAAAATAGACATGTATTGTACTTGTTAGATCAATACTTCTTGAGTTGGTTCTTCCTTAAAGGATTCGCCTTCCTCATACTCCACTGGGAGGCCACCTAAAAAACTTTCGCGCCATCTGTCATGATGCTGTTGTGACAGATGATGTAATTAGGTGACTGACAGCGGAAGCACAAAAATCAGACATAAGATGATTTTCAGAATCAGGTAGGATTTTTTTAGGAGAGAATACATGAGGGGGCCTATTTGTCAAGTGAGTAAATCCCAAACACTATATGATACTCATATTCTACTATATGTTACAATTTTAGCAGCTTATAGTAACTTATATTGATAAATGGACTGTCTCCTCTTAATATATTACCTTTTGTTAGAATTCATCTCGAGGTTTGGTTACAGAGGTGATGAAAAGGGAAATATTTTGCAATAGAAACCAGAGCAAAGGTATAAAGGCAATTTCTAATTTATTGTTGTTGTTTTCTAAAGTCATTTTTTTGAGAATTTAAAGTACGCTTCCAATGGAAAAATGTTATAATACAGAAAATTCCCAGGCTAACCCATACAATTTTACTTATCTTGTGACATGTATTAAATATTTTTCCTAGAGCCTTAATTCAGCTATACCTAACCACCATGTATAAAAAATAAGTAGATACATTGCGGTATTCAAATTGGGAATATTGCCCTGGCGGAAGGAGTGGAGATGGCTCTGGGTTTCTTCCTGTGGTGGGATTTGGATTGGAGACGATGCAGACTTTTGGCAGCAGCACCACAGTTCTCTAGGTGTTCTGAACTGGGAAGATGGGGAAACGGGAACATTTTTTGGGCTGTGTCTGTGCTGTGTTTTAAGAGCTGAGATGTTTTCCATGCCTTCTTTTGGTTTCATTTTTGAATACTACTTTCCATAAGTGAAGATAGAAGAGTTGTCCAGAAGATAAGACGCTGTGTATGTTCTGAAAGAAGTATTTGTCTGTGAGGCACAACAGTATTGTTAAATTAATTTTGACCTTTGTTTGAGGGGAGCATTTTCCAGTGATTGGCTATTTTAAGAGTGCCTATTTAATAACCCCTTTAAAAGCATTTAGAGTAACAGGATAAAATTAGACTTGTAAAATATCATTTTTTTTGTTGCTGGTGGGGGAATCACTTGCAAGGTCTATACAAGTCTGCCTATGTACTCTCTGGATCGAATATTTGCTGGATTTAGGACACGAAGTCAGACACTGTTGGGTCACATAGAAGAACAAGATGAAGTCCTCCATTGCCAATTTTCTGATAACAGTGATGATGAAGAATCAGAAGGCCAAGAGAAATCTGGAACTAGGTATGTTAAATATACAGTGATTTAATAAACATTTAGAATTATATGATGCAATAAATAGAGAAGTGTAGGTTTTTTACACTGGAGTATATCTTTTCCGTTTAATATAAGAGTAGATAACTTTTGCTAAAAGTACTATCATCTAATATGTTATGAAAATAATATTTGAATCCAAATCATCAGACTTATAATTGAAAAATAATTTTGCGTTTGCTTTCAGAGCTTTTATAGTAATTAGATTCTAATATTCAGAGGAATTTTTTTTTTAATTTCCCTATTCATCTGCCACAATTTCAACAAACACGACTTTTCTACTGGATTCAACATAGGGAGGCATCCTTTTATTTTGAGTAATAATAGTAAAATTCTGTTTATAAATGTAATTAATAATTTTTTAACATTGCTGTCACTTTTTTGGGGAAACTAATTTGAGGGCAGATTAGAAAATGCTAGCACATAAGTTAACTTCCTGATTTTTTTTTTTAGATGTAGAAGTCATTCATGGATTCAGAAGCCAGACTCTGTTTGTTCCCTTGTTGAATTGAATGATACTCAGGATGAAACACAAAAGTCAAATTTGGAAAATGAAGGTACATAGATTTTCGTAAAGAATTTTAGACCTGGCCGGGCGCGGTGGCTCAAGCCTGTAATCCCAGCACTTTGGGAGGCCGAGGCGGGTGGATCACGAGGTCAAGAGATCAAGACCATCCTGGTCAACACGGTGAAACCCCGTCTCTACTAAAAATACAAAAAATTAACTGGGCATGGTGGCGCATGCCTGTAATCCCAGCCACTCAGGAGGCTGAGGCAGGAGAATTGCCTGAACCCAGGAGGCGGAGGTTGCTGTGAGCCGAGATTGTGCCATTGCACTCCAGCCTGGGTAACAAGAGCGAAACTCCGTCCCAAAGAAAAAAAAAAAAAAAAAAAAAAAAAGAATTTTAGACCTAATGGTTATAAGATATTTACCTTTTTCCTCAATTGATAATTAAGAAACATCCAGGAATCCTCAAAGACCAGAACTAGGTACAAATGCATTCCTGGTTGGTTGAACTTCTTTTATGTTCTCTGTTTTAACCTCTTTCAGTCTTTTTACTCTTTAATAAAAAAGTTTCTGTCAGTTAATTATGGCTAGAGATATAGGCTAACTCCCTCAAAATAAGGATTTTTATATTCAGACCTGAATTGATATGCTTTGTACTCCTGATGACTTTAAAATACAGTGTAAGTAATTGTAGTGTGTCTGCTCCTTCACTAACATCAATGATGTATTTGGCTTTAGAGTCCAGTTAGTATACTGGGTGCTGGTAATGTTTTAGTACACAACTGCTAAGAATTTTTATGCATCAGTAACAGCATCAAAAACATTTATGAGCCAGGCATAGTAGCTCATGCCTGTAATCCTAGTGCTTTGAGAGGCTGAAGTGGGAGAATTGCTTGAGGCCAGGAGTTTGAGACCAGCCTGAGCAACATAGTGAGATCTTCTCGCTACAGAAAATTAGCCCAGCATGGTGGTGCATACCTATGGTCCCAGCTACTCAGGAGGGAGGCTGAGGTGGGAGAATCACTTGAGCCCAAAAGTTCAAGGCTGCAGTGAGCTGAGATCACACCACTGTACTCTAGTCTGGGTGACAGAGCGCCTGTCTCAAACAAACAAACAAACAAAAAAAGCAAAAAAGAAAGCTACTACTACCCTTTAGTTTTCAAAACATTTTTATTTATTTATTTATTTATTTATTTATTTTTTCGACAGAGTCTTGCTCTGTCACCCAGGCTGGAGTGCAATGGTGCAGTCTCGGCTCACTGCAACCTCCACCTCCCGAGTTCAAGTGATTCTCTTGCCTCAGCCTCCCGAATAGCTGGGACTACAGGTGCACGCCACCACACCCAGATAATTTTTGTATTTTTAGTAGAGATGGGGTTTTACCATGTTGGCCAGGCTGGTCTTAAACTTGTGACCTGGTGATCTGCATGCCTCAGCCTCCCAAAGTGCTGGGATTACGGGTATAAACCACTGCGCCCAGCCGGCAGTAGTAGATTTTAACTCATCTCTCTTGGCCAATGTGTGGTTGACTCACAAAAAATAAGGGAATAGTGAATATAAATAACATGGTAAGTGCTACACTTTAAAAATATAGAGCATCTCTTTAAGAACTTATACATAGCTTAATGAGCCAAAAATTTAAGTATAATGAAAATAAATTTCAAAATTTAAAAATGATAAAGGTAAGTGCTACTTAAGCAGCCATGCTTGAGCTGTTTCTTCTATGATAGTTCTTTTTTTTTTTGAGATGGAGTTTCACTCTTGTTACCCAGGCTGGAGTGCAATGGCACGATCTCAGCTCACCACAACCTCCGCCTCCTGGGTTCAGGCAATTCTCCTGCCTCAGCCTCCTGAGTAGCTGGGATTACAGGCATGCACCACCATGCCCAGCTAATTTTTTGTATTTTTAGTAGAGAC